AATTTAAGGAAGAAAGAGCTCGAGGCAACATTTGTGGCTAATGTAGTTTCAGGAGACTATCTTGTAAGTGTTGGAAGCTGGTACTCAGCCTGGCTACACAGAAAACTTTTACTTCCATGTTATGGTGAATTACTAAAAGAAGACCAAAGAGCCAACTTCATTCTTATAAGTCATTCTCTGCTCTTCATTTTTATTTACCAAATTGTTAAAAATAAAGCAACATCAACTTAGCTAATTAAAACTTTACCAATGATCTCTTTCCAAGCAACACAGTATCAGCACTCAGGTTAGTAGGAATGGGAAACATCTGGAGACATAGAAATTAAAAAGGTGGTGGGAAGGGTCATTTTAAAGTTACTGTCCGGTGTTGGTTTTCCCTTTCCTCTCTTGAAGTATGTAGAAAGTGCAAAAGTAAGGAGAACTGCAGATCTTGAGTCTGAGCCTTGAGCTTTGCTTTTATGAAGTTAAACATGATAGATGGTGGAGAAAATGGTATAAATAAGACACTTCTAGAGGTCATTGATGTGGATGGAGGATGCTCTGACCAGTAATCTGCTGATCCAGTTTAGTTGCAGTTGCATGCCCAATGACTGCCTGGTGGGATGTGAAAGATGGAGGTGATTGAACCAGATCAGGATTTGAAATGTAACTCCTGTAAGGGTCATCGTGATCAGGAAGAAGCTGTTTTCATGGTCACTAGGAGAAGCATGGGAGGCCTTTGGCTTTTTATGGCTTCCAGAGGCACATATCCTGACTGCTCTAATTAGGTCAGATCACCCAGTGTCTAGGCTCTCACAGCATCCTGTACTGCTTTTTCCCTTCTGCATACTCTTTTTTCATATTGTTATTATTGTTTGTTTCCAACTGTACTATAAACTCCATGAGGGCAGGGGTCAAGCCTATTTTTACCTACCATTTTATCTGCAGTGCTTGGTATGCTGACAATTACATAACATAATTAGCAAATACTTGCTGAATGGAGGGGACTGAATTGGAAGTATTTACTAGATCCACTTTATCATACAGAGGTATGGCATTACCTCCAACTTGATGATTAAGGTGGGCTTACTTTTCAAGCTCCTGGATGAAAAGGTATTAAAAAGCTTTTGGTCTAACAGATATTGAAGGACTTTGAAGAATACTCTACTCACAGAGCAGTGCGGCAACTACACAGGCAAGCACTATTGTAAATAATGGGATAGCCTCCCCAACCCTTCCTCCGCCACTACCCCATCCCAGTTTTTTTTATTGGTACAGTCCTCACTGTCTGGTGGAATTACAGTTTAGTTGACAAATATTACATTCTGTCTTTAGATTGTGGTCTCATATTTCTGTAAAGTTTGCTCAAGGCTTTCAGTATAGGCATCATCTGAGTCTGTAATGAGAACTCCACAGCTCTCAGCCTAGTCACAAGCTCTTACCTTCCCTGAAATGAATTTTTACCCACTCTTTACCCCTGTAAGTGGTGATCAGTGTCTAAGATTTCCAAAAGGGCATTCTCGTCCTCAGATTTGTTTCTGGTCTGTAATGCTTCTTGGTCTCACTAAGATTGAAAGGGGGCCGATGTGGATGGAGGTCTTGAGTTTTCAACTCATCCTCTGAATGGAGTTTCTACTGTGGTACTTGCAGATGGGAGTGGTGGTGTTTTAGTGAAGCGTTGTTTCTGCCTGTCTCTGATTGCTGTATTAGTGAACTAGAAGCTTATGAGAGTACTTAGAGGTGTTAGTATTCTTATGTCAAGTCTGTTAAACAGACATAAAAATGTACGTTTATCAAAAACTTAAAACTTGACTGAGCTTTAAGGAATTGTCTACATTAGGGCAAGAGGCATCATTTACCTACTTAGTTTCTGAGTTATTCGTATTATCAGTTTCTCTTTCACACAGTATTTTTCATATTTACGGATCTCTCAGAATTGAAGATTTGCTCAGATTGAAGCATATGCTGTTACCTTATTTTATTTTTCAGGATCATACATTTCCACATGTGAAGTATGTAGAAATATGAATGAAGCAGACAGGGAACCAAGGTAGATTCCTCTGTTGTACAGAAGTTTCACCACTGTGCAGTAGCTGATGTGTTTTGTCCTAGCAGTTCTTAAGCCACACCTGAAGGTGATTGGAAGTTGTTGTGTCTTCAGGTTTAGAATGGACAGCTTTATTTCATTCACTGATAAAGTTTCTCCTGCCTTTAAATAATTAGCTCTTTGAGCCAAGGATTATTGCAGCTGTCCTGTTTCCAGTCCTTTTAGACTCATTGATGAAATAGCATTGTATATGCACCTATACTAGCTTTAAGGTCAAAAGTCAGCAACAGGAAGCCTTTCTGTATAAGGGTTTAGGCTGTATTACATACTTATAGGCATGTATTAATACGTTTAAATGAGCTACTACATTGGTCTCTTAGTTGCTTCTGGAACATGAAACAGATGCTCATCTTAGTGTATTTATTTATGCCTAATAGCTTTTTGATGTTTTTACTTTTTTCCAATATTTTATGATAAATTTATTTTATTTTGATTTTTAAAAACTTTTTATTTTATATTTGAGCCCCTCTGTCTACAGTTACTTCCACATAGCATCCTTAAGGCCCACCCACCTCCTTACTTCCTCCCTTAAAGCTTTGCTCCAGTAACACCTTATCAGAGAGGCATTTCCTCGCTACCCTCTTTGTCTCTTTTCTCTGTTTTATTTTTCCATACCACTTACTGCCGTCTAATATGTGTTTCGCTTTTTTGTCTGCCTGCATGTCCCCCTGTAATATGAACTCTTCATTTACATACTGCCTAACTCTATAACATTCTAATAATTTGTCATACTTCAGTTGTTTTTTAAAAAATAACACATTAAAGATTGGTTGAAGCATGCTGTGTAATCCCCCTGCCCCATTCTTGTTCCTTCCTTCATTCCTAAGGTGATTATCTTTGTTATTTATCAATCTTATGTTTTTATACTTTTGCTACATCTGAATGTACCTTAAAATAGCTTTATTTTGCATGTTTATCCACCTGCTATAACTAGTTGCAGCATGCACATTTGTATGCAGTTTGCTTTTTAAATTTAGTGTATATTTGATGATTTCTGCCATCTTCATTTTTACTATTATATAGTAGTTCACTGTATGACTATAACTCATTTATTCTTATTGTTGAAAGTTTAGGCTGTTTTTGTTATTTTGCTATTACAAAAAAAAAGATGAACATCTGTATGTCCATTTGCAAGCACTTCTCTAGGGAATTTTCCTTGAAGAAAAATTGCCAAGTCATAGGTATGATATTTATTTATTTACTTGTGTATTTAGTTATGCCAAATTGTTTTTTGATGTTCTTACTCTTTCCCAATATTCTATGATAACTTTATTTCATTTTAATTTTTTCTTAACTTTTTATTTTAAATTGGAGTATAGCTGATTGATAATGATGTGATAGTTTAAGGTGGACAGCAAAGGGACTCAGCCATACATGTACATGTATCCAGTCTCCCCTAAACTCTCCCCTCCTATCCTGGCTGCCACATAATGTTGAGCAGAGTTCTCTGTGCTGTACAGTAGGTCCTTGTTGGTTATCCATTTTAATTATAACATTTTGTGTACATGTCATTCCCAAACTCCCTAACTGTCCCTTGTAAACTCTCACCATTTTTGTAGGAAAGTTCCTGTTTTTTCACATCCCTCTCCAGACTTGATATTTGCAGTTGAGACACTTCATTCAAACCATTTTTCCAATCTGAAATATCATCTTCCTGAAGTAATTTGATATTTTTGATCATCAGTGAAGTTAAACATTTCATAGGCTTTATTCATAGGTTTATTCACTGTTTAAGTTCACCCCTTTGTAAGTGAACTTACGAAGTTCACTTTGTAAGTTTAAGAGCATGTTTGGCAATTTCTTATTTGTACTGCTACATTTTTGTTCATTAGGTATTGTCAGGCATTAACTCTGTCAGACAGAGTTAATAAATAAACATGCCCTTTAATGAACTAACACTTTTTAAGTTATTATATATTTATTTTTAGAAAAATGTTGCAAATGCTTTACTGAAAAATTCTAAAGAATTCTGTAAAAATATTATGAACTTTTCCTTTACTCATTGGCATTTAAGAAATTATACAACCTAATGACCTAGATAATACAAAGAATCTAGTATGGTGAGATCTGGAGTCTGAGTCGGCACATGTGAATTGCTTACAACATAGGTAGCTATTTTTGATTGAGGGTAATCTTTCCATTTAGTGACATATGTAAGTTTAATACCCCACCCAGTGGTAGCTTATAGCTAAATGCCTAGTTTGTGTCATTTTATAAAGTTGATTAAAAGAGCATTTCCTGCAGTGGTGACTCTTTTCCTTCTTTTTTCTCATCCTCCAGGTTGTATCAGAGTAAGATGGACGGTAGCTTTGATTGTGATTGTGGTGAGCTGGAGCCACCTGATCACTAACAAAAGACATCTTCTGTTAACCAACAGCCGCCAGGGCTTCCTGTTGAAATATACAGCAACAGAGGAAGAAAAGAAGCAAAACGGAAATAGCGCTTACCAGCACCTTAGAATGATGCTGCTCAGGACCAGTCCAACACTGAATGTATCTGCACTGTGAGGAGAATGTTCATAGAAGCCTGTTGTGTGCATATTTATTCACATTTTTGTTAAATGTTAAACCCTTCAGCACAGTAAATCTGAGTGCATAGTATGTCATTTCCTTCCGTTTGAGTTTCTTGAGTGTTTTCTTTAAATGTCTGCAGAGTTGCTGTCCCTTTCTTGAACTATGAGTACTGCAATCTTTTTAATTCTCAGTATGAATAGAGCTTTTTGAGCTTTAAATCTAAGGGGAACTCAACAGGCCTGGTTGGCATATGCAATGAGCATCAAGAAACCATCTTGCTGTGGACGCAGAATTATTTTTTTCTCCCTTTTTAAAAGATCTTTCCTTTTGATGCCAGTTTTCTTCCTTGTTCACACAAGTTCAACAATTTGAAAGGAAAAGCCAATAGTAAGGGTTTCAAAATGGCAGAGAAATTTGAAAGTCTCATGAACATTCATGGTTTTGATCTGGGCTCTAGGTATATGGACTTAAAACCATTGGGTTGTGGAGGCAATGGCTTGGTTTTTTCTGCTGTAGACAATGACTGTGACAAAAGAGTAGCCATCAAGAAAATTGTCCTTACTGATCCCCAGAGTGTCAAACATGCTCTACGTGAAATCAAAATTATTAGAAGACTTGACCACGATAACATTGTGAAGGTGTTTGAAATTCTTGGTCCTAGTGGAAGCCAGTTAACGGATGATGTGGGCTCTCTTACCGAACTGAACAGTGTTTACATTGTTCAGGAGTACATGGAGACAGACTTGGCTAATGTGCTGGAGCAGGGCCCTTTACTGGAAGAGCATGCCAGGCTTTTCATGTATCAGCTGCTACGTGGGCTCAAATACATTCACTCAGCAAACGTACTGCACAGAGATCTCAAACCAGCTAATCTTTTCATTAATACTGAAGACTTGGTGCTGAAGATAGGTGACTTTGGTCTTGCACGGATCATGGATCCCCATTATTCCCATAAGGTATGTGGAAAGTCAGCTGAGGCAGACCTCTGAATTGATACACATCATCAGAAACAGGTGCTTGTATTTCCTTTGTGTGTTGTGGCAGAATTTTTAGTTAATTGTATTAAACTTTACATAGTACCTTTTTTCCATTCACAATCTCCTTGTGTTTGAAATGAAGGTGGAACGGGATCCTAGTTAAGTACAAATTCTGGTTATTTGTAATTACTGAAATTCTCTCTTACTTAAAAGTAGGATATATCATGTGTTTAGGGCAGAAGGTTGCTGTTTCAACTTTTAGTTTTTTTTGTTTGTTTGGATATACTCTTCTGTTATGCCTTGTTTAGCAAACTTAGTTTGAAATCTAAATTTGCACAAACATAAAGTAGGCAATAAGAATAGGCAGAAGAATTCATAGTAACTTTGCCTTAAATAAACTTTGCTTTTGTACAGGAAATTAATGATATTTTTTGAGCTGAACTCTTTAGTTTTAGTTTTTTAGTTTTCAAATGAAATCATACGTGGGACTCTGATGTTTAAAACGTAAAAATGGAGCTGTTTTGGTATAAACCATCCCTGGGAAGCTTGCTTGCTTGGCTTCTCATAGCACACATCTGAGACACATCTTGGCATTTGCATGTATCATCTCACATTGAGTATAACTTAACTTAAAAAAAAAAACTTCAGCATTGAAATTAAGTACCAAAATGAAGTGGATGGCCACATCTTTACGGATAACAGTGAAGTATTGTGGATAGAACACTGAACTAGGAGTTAGACTATATAAAATTGAGTTCCACTTCTACATCCAGCTAAACTATATGACCTTAAGCAGACTCCTTAACCTGAGTGTCAATATCTACCTTCATATTTTCTCAGTGTTATTTTTAGAATGAAACAAGGCAACATATATTTAACTGTTTTTGTCAAATTCTTCATAAATATAAAGTAGTGAATCTGATTAGGAATGGCGTGTGCAGTATAGCCAGGTCCCCTGGGTAAGTAAGGAAGTTGGCATTGCTTTATAAATAGCTCACCTTTGGTATTCTTTCCTGCCTTTCTCTCATTGATTTAAAGCATACCTGCCTCATTGTTGACTTGAAGTGATAAATAGCTTCTCTTCTCAAACATGTTGTGAATATGTGCCGTAGAGTTAACACTGAATTCTTACAGTATTCTTTGGTCAGAGTACTTCATGAGAATATCATGTTATAGATAGTATGTTACATGGGGAGTTTAATCTCCATACAGCCTCAGAAATGCAAGAGCCTTGAAAATAGGCATAGAAATCAACAATACTGTTTGATTTTACAATTATAGTTTGTTTTTAGAGTAAGGGCTTTTTAATGAATCATGTTTTACATACTGTTATTCAGCTAAAGTAAAAAGTATATTTTTGTTTCTTTTTCAGGGTCATCTTTCTGAAGGATTGGTTACTAAATGGTACAGATCTCCACGTCTTTTACTTTCTCCTAATAATTATACTAAAGCCATTGACATGTGGGCTGCAGGCTGCATCTTTGCTGAAATGCTGACTGGTAAAACCCTCTTTGCAGGTTAGAAATTTTAAAATAAATGGGAAAATTATCCCAAGGAGAAATAATTTCATATATTTCTATGAATCCAGATTTATGTAAGATTTAAACCAATTTACTATAGTTTAAACTATTAAAATGAAAAGATAAAATGGTATTTTATTTTATTTTTTTTAAATGGTATTTTGAAAATGGAGAACACTTACATATTTACTGGATTGTTCAGTAAAGTTAGCCTGAATTCTAGTGTTTCTTTTGTATATATCTTTATTTCTTAAACATAATTTCCTGTTTTATAGATCAATATTTGTTGGTTGTTTTTGTTAAATGATACCTGTGTTACCTGATTCTGTCAGTGTTTGTCACTTCCTGGTGAAATTTTTTTAGCTATTTAGCTATTTTTTAGCTAAATTCAGTAATTCTTTCTTTGTCTCCTGTTAACCCTGTTGCTTGAACTGCCATATCCTGTTGACCTGACTGATGTGGTATTTCAGAAACAACCGATTTTATGATTTTGGTGCTATGAGGGAATCTAAAAAAGTGCATGAGAAAGCTTTTGAGTTAAGGTGGATTAAAACAAAAACCTCTATAAATAAAACAATTTTTGATCTTAAACCTTTGTACACTTTAAATATTTAATTAAACAGAATTGTTTATGAAATGATTTGAAAGACTCAGTTGTATGGAGAAGGAAATGGCAACCCAATCCAGTATTCTTGCCTGGAAAAAAGTCCATGGACAGAGGAACCTGGTGGGCTGCAGTCCATGGGGTTACATGACTGAGCATGTGTGCATGAGGGTGGAGGGAGATGGGTTGGTAGCAATAAAGTGGTAGAACTTAAAAAAAAAAAAAAAGACTCAGTTGTAGTTCCCTTCTAAAAACCTTTTCAGTAGGTTTGTGAACCATTCAGTAAAAGCAGCATGAGGGAAATCTATTGGTTAGGATAGGCCTCATATTAACAGCAATAAAAGGCAAGGCCTAAGCATTCATTGGAAATCTGTGTATTTTTAACTTATAGTAAGTGCCCTAGCCTTATTTTTTGGTCTTACTCAGTATCTCAACTTAGATGTTTAATGGCATCTCAAATTTAACCTATCCAAAACTGACCTCCTGATATCTCTCCCTCATCCTTCCTCTTTCTGCTGTCCTCCTCATCTTAGTAAACCAGACCCACTTCTTATTTGCTCAGGCCAAAATCTTGGCATCGTCCTTCACTTTTCTCCTTACAGGTCTTATGGGCTGTTTCTTTAAAGTATATCTTGAATCTTATTGCTAGTATCTCTTTCACTGCTCTCATCCTCCCAGTCCAGTAAACCATTCTGCCTTTCCTGGTCTAACACATGATCTCCTAACTGGCTTTCCTGCTCTAAGTTTTCTTGTCTGTGGTCTAGTTACCACATAGCAACACAGTAGTTCTCTGAAAACATAGCTCATGTCATTTCTCTGTTCAAAACTCTGTAATGGTTTCTTATCAAATTCAGAATCACGTAAACTCTCAGTGTTCTGTTACCACTGGGCTCATCTCCTGTCATTTTCTTGAGTCACTGTACTTCAACTACACTTGCCTAATTGTTGTTTCTTGGACACACCAAGCCCACTTTCTCCTCTAGGCCTTTGGGCCCTTTCTCATCTTCCTGGAACTCCCTTCCTCTTTATGAATGTTTGGGGTATTACCTAACTTCCTTGTCAGCTTCTCAGTGAGGCCTTGCTTGGTCATAAGGATGATAAGGTCATAACAACCAAGGGGTTGTTAATATAAATTAACCCTACTCCTAATAGTGCTCTCTGTCCCCCTTAGCTTACTCTATTTTTCTTCATTTATCACTGTTTGATGTAAATGTTTACAGAAGTTGTTATCTGTCTTCCTCCATTATACTGTGAGCTCCACGAAGGCAGGAATTTGGTCAGTTTTGTTTTCACAGGTGTATTCTAAAGTGCCTTGCTCATGGTAGGCACTCAAGAAAAATTTTGATTGTTGAATGAGTTTCTAGAAATGAGTGGAAAAACAAATGACTGTTTTGTTTTTTAAATATTAACTGCCCATTTAGCCTGAAGTTTCCCCTTTTATTTCTTTTTAATAGTGGTTCTGAAATGTTAACTGAGCCTAATTCATAACTATAAAACTTTCTGTTTCACAAATCTAGTCTAAGGCTCTATTTTATTGATAGTGAAATTAAGTCATCACCATGTTAAGTATTCTCAGAATTATAGTGAGTTAATTAGTATGTATGGTTGAGACTAGAATCTCATCTTTTAAATCTCAGTTTATTGCTTTTTTCACTACTTTGTGATACCTTAATATGAGGCCAGACTTCAAGTCAACTTCTTATGGAAACAAAGCAGCTAAAACTGAACATATCAATGAGCAGAATTTGAAAAAGATAAGCTTTCTGAGCAAATTGATGATGATATTCAAAGCAGTGAAATCTCCTGGTTAATGATGCAGTTAAAACCATTTTCCCCTTCGATGGTCATTACAATTCTGTTAGTTTCCTGTAGCTTTAGAATGTTTATTGCCAGTAGGTTAAACATTGAGAAATGTATTTATTAATGTTATATTTTTTATTTTTTAATCTTGTCTAGGTGCACATGAACTTGAACAGATGCAGCTGATTTTAGAATCTATTCCTGTTGTCCATGAGGAAGATCGTCAGGAGCTTCTCAGCGTAATTCCAGTTTACATTAGAAATGACATGACTGAGCCACACAAACCTTTAACTCAGCTGCTTCCAGGAATTAGTCGAGAAGGTACTGTAACTGAAGAGTAACCATCACGTAATGGTGTATTTATGTGTGAGCAGGGTGTGTGTAGGGAAGCTTTAGCTTTTTATCATTGTAGATGTGGCATTCTCCCAAATAGTCTTTAGACACTCAAGGTACACCTAAAACTTCAGCTCTTGCTTTCCTTTTTATAGCCAGGCACTTAGGCTGGGAATCTTTTCTTTGCTGTGAATAATTTTCCAGATTCCAGTATACCCCTCTTTCCTGGTTCTGACTCCATGTGCTTGTCTAGCTTTTACTTCTGATCATCTCTGCCTGGTGAACATGTTTATTACTGACTCTCACTGAGCTGGAATGGGATTCTCTGAGGGTTATATGATAAGTAATTGTGGGTACAAATATGAATGTGATTTAGATATGAAAGAGGGAATTGAGTTGAAGGAAAGCAAGGGTTTTAGAGCCAGGAAGAGATGGAAGAAAGATCAAAACTACATATGAGCAAACTTGCTACATAAAAGATTGCAGATTGGTGTTAGTAATACTGGGTGCTAAATGTGACAGTTTGTGCAGACTTGAAAGTAATAGGAACATGGAGAGAATCAAAACTTCACTGACCACTAAAGCAGTAAATTTCATACATCAGAATGGAGAGATGTATCTTTAGGGTTTGTTGATACAAATAAGATACAAAAGTCTAAATGCTGTAATAGTTGTCTGTAATAAGATAACATTTAAAAAAAAAAGAGCATTAGAAATGAAAAATATCTTCCTTAAAAGTTGATTGTATCAAACCTTTAAGGATTATTGTACTGTGTTTAGCTGTATCCATGCCAGAATTGTGATAGTTCTTTTCTGAATCATAAAGTTAGGAAGATACAATTTCCTTAACATCTTAAACTTTCTCTTAATTATACATTTATTGTTCATATCACCCACTCTGATCATTATGTAGTTAAGGTTAATGTGTATCAAAGTGCTTTAACTTAGCAAGTGTTTTGAGAAATAGGCACTGGATGGCAAAACTGATGAGATTGTCTTTTTTCCCCTCATCTGTGCTTGGAACTCATTAGTAAATGCCTGAATGAAAAGGAAGCAACTATATTTAATTTCAACAGGTTTCATAAGCTTCCTTTTCAGGAATGCTACATTTTTAACCCGTCTTGTAGAGTATCTTCGCAGTCAGTAATACGTTGCTGACTTTCTGACTCCTGATCTTGTTGCCACTGTCATGATGGTGTCCTTGTTCATAACTGAACAGCAGTCACGTAGCACTTGACTGTGCCTCAGAGTTGTCTGTTGGAATTCTTTGAAAAGTGCAGAATGTTAAATCAGAATCCAGAGGTGGGGTGGCAGGCAGGACATGTGTCTGCTCTGCAGTTTTGACCCTGCTCAGCCAGGTTGAGAGAGAGTGCTCAGGGATTGCCTTGGAGTCCTTGTTGCCATTGCTGAGTCTTACCAGAAGAGGCAAGCTAGTAATACAGAGTTGCTGTTGAGGCATTTGTAACCTAATTAAATTTGAATCTTCTCTTCCCTTGCCCTCAGTCAGTTCTGAACCAACCTGAATATTTAGTTGGTGCCTGGGATTTATTCATAATGTGTTGAATGAATGTCTTTGATAATAGATTCATTAAAGTAACCATTGGACAAATATTCTTGATTTTCATAAGTGATAGAACTCTGTGTGTGGGGGGGGTGCACGCACGCATGTACTCAGTCATGTCCAACTCTTTGCGACCCCATGGACTCTAGCCCATCAGGCTGGCTCCTCTATACACAGGTTTTTCAGGCAAGAATACTGCAGTGGGTTGACATTTTCTACTCCAGGGGATCTTCCCGACCCAGGGATCAAACCTATGTCTGTTGCGTCTTCTGCATTGACAGGCCGATTCTTTACCACTAGTGCCACCTGTACTCACATACAAATGCATTGCAGAGTGTTTAAAGTTCCTGAAGCTAAAGACTTGTTACATAGATATGCTCTGCAAGTTTCTTCTTCATTAACACTGGAATTTTGTTTTGGGGCTGAGTACCTTCTGAGCAATGGAAACTCTTACAGTAGTATATGTTCCTTTCTCACATTCTGTGCATGATCTTCAGAGGGAAAAAGCAAACAAGATTAAGTACATGTGAATTGACACATTAAGGCTACTGGAACCCTGTACTGGTTAGTGTCTGTAAATGGATACCCAATCTTTTAAATTTTCCTTCATGGTTACCTTTTATCCTCCCTTTCTCTATAGTTTACCACTTATTTCTTTATCTTAGCATACCATTGTAGTAAATAGACTGATTTCCTCTAGAGCAGGGCTATCCAATAGAATTTTCACAATGATGGAAATGTTTTTTATTTGCATACATTTGGAAGTTCAACCTGACTAGTTTGTTAGCCCTGCCTTTTCTCCCTGCTATCAGTTTTAGGGATTCTAGAGTATATTCCTCTCATGTAGTTGGATATGTTTCACTCTGAGAATAGCAGTTACGCTGAGTCAGCCATCCATAATTGTGCCTTAGATTGTCTCTTGCCTTGAGACTTGTGGGGCACTGACTTGCAGAAGAACCAAGAACAGCTTGATGTATCATGAAATCACTTCCTAGGTTAAGGTAATATAATAGAGGTGGGTGGGGAAAAGGTTGAGCACAGGCAGGAACCTCAGCCCTGGACCACTGAAGGGCATGAGTAACAAGGAGCCTTACCTTTCTTCTCTTTAATGCTTCATTGGACTGATCTGAGGATTGAATGAGATAATGTAGTGAAGCACTTTGTGGGATATAAATGGCTGTATAAATGTCAGCTACTTTTAATGTTAATGAGAGATTGAGAGTTGAGAATAAGGTCCTTTCTAGTGTGCAGCTTAGTTTTAGAGAAGTGCTAACTAGCTTTTCCTTTGAGATATAAGGCAAGGATCAGTTTATGTGTGACAGACTAGAGTGAAGAAGTAGGGGTTGAGATAAATGTGAAGAAGGTTTATTTGCTAAGAATAATGAGAATATTGAGAGCATAAAGAAATGGTGAGGAACATTGCTGAGCCATTTCAAAGGCCAGTTGAAATTCCACAGTATGTGTGAATCTGTAGAGAGTTTAGATATATATATACACATGTGACTTTGCATCCAGCTTTTATCAGTACTGTATAACTAGGAAATGGAAAGGTGGAAGGTGGGAATGGTTCAGAGTTGAAGATGGTGTCACTCATAAGGCATCCAAGTGTGTGGTGGTGGTGGAGGGGGGTGACAGAGTGGTACAGTCTGAGTTAGTGAAAAGAACTGGGTTTGTGGTAGCTATGCTGTAGCCCTAAAGTGATCAAATGCATTGTGTGATCTGCATTAGTATGATTGGTGTGAAACAGAAGTCAACAAATTAGTACAACAGCTGGTCAGTGAGGTACGAGTAGCAAAGGGCTTTATATTGAGCACTAAACACTATACATTTCATTTTTATACCTTATACCCATCTCTCTGTCCATTCTACACATGAAGAAATGGAAGTTTAGCAAGTTTAACTCTCCAGTTACACATAGCTAGTAATCCAGCTAACCTAGTGAGTTGTAGAGCTGAAATTAGGACCTATGTATCAGGTTATGCCATATGAAATTGCTGTTATTTGACTGTTTTTGACTGACAAAAATGAAAATTTCATATGGTTCAACTTCATATATTCCTTTTCCTTTATAATTGGCCATAATATGAGATTGGGATATATTTCAAATACTTACTTTGTTTCTTGGACACATGTCTTTTTAATCAGTGAATCAGGTAAGCTGTTTTGTTTCTCTGACAGAACTTAAATTAACTTACCTTTTAATTGTGTAATCCCTTTTTTTCTTTATGGGTTGGTGGACCTCCAGTACAGTTAAAGTTTTTGTCTTCCTCTTGTAGCACTGGATTTCCTGGAACAAATTTTGACATTCAGCCCCATGGATCGGTTGACAGCAGAAGAAGCGCTTTCCCATCCTTACATGAGCATTTATTCTTTTCCATTGGATGAGCCAATCTCAAGTCATCCTTTTCATATTGAAGATGAAGTTGATGATATTTTGCTTATGGATGAAACTCATAGTCACATTTATAACTGGGAAAGGTAAAACTGACCCTAAATTAGGAAAAGCTTTTGTTTTCAGTAAAGCATAATTTAGTGAGCTTTATTTTAAATTGTATATGATAAGACAATGTAAAAATCTTAAAAATTTAGAAATGGTCTTTTTGGATTTCTGCTAAACGTATTGCTGTCTTTGAATAGCCTTTATGTAATTTCAGTATTTAATAGTTATTGCTTAGTATATACATAATGGGAAAAGTTAAATGCTACTTTGGAACAAGAAGTAGTAAATGTTGAAATTAGTTTGTTTACTTGCTGCATTTTTAACTCCTAAAATGTTGAAGTATTTATGATCAAATATATCTGCCAGCCATCTACATGAACATTTCTACTATCTACATATAGTAGTTTTCTCACATACCCAGATGTCTGTCAATCCCTATTTTCTACCATACTTATTAGTTGAGTCATCTATTCTCTTTTCTATTCTCTCCTCTTCAACCGCCACTGTTTTCACTTGTGTCTTAGTCTGCCTCTACTTGGTTGTGGTGTGGTCACCCTGCGGTAATGTGTAAGTAAGAGGATACCACATTCAGTAACACATTTACATGGAGACTTGTTCTGCTCATGGCGATGAGTTCCAGGAAGCCTTCTTCTAGTCTGCTTTATTACCATAGAGTGAAAATCTGTATGGCACCTGATTGAAATGAGAGATTTACATTTTGTGACCATAAATGTTTTTTTTTTTCCCCTTGTGTGTGAAATTATGTTTGTAGAAATTGTGAAATTGAACTGTAGACCAGCCAGCCACTCAGATGTTTATGTGCAGTTTATATAATTATATGCTCCATTGCATCATATTGCTTTATGTAGTAACAGGGCTTACCTATTCATTAAGACTGTAAATTCTTATATGACTTAATACTCTTATTATTCCCCTCATAGACCTAGCGAGCACAGTGCTTTGATCCAAAAGGCATGCAGTAAATTTGAAAGTGAAATCATATATCTGGAGTAACACCTAATGTATTAATTTTTTTCAGGTACCATGATTGTCAATTTTCAGAGCATGATTGGCCTATACATAACAACTTTGATATTGAGGAAGTTCAGCTAGACCCAAGAGCTCTATCTGATGTCACTGATGAAGAAGAAGTACAAGTTGATCCTCGAAAATATTTGGATGGAGATCGTGAAAAGTATTTGGAGGATCCTGCTTTTGACACCAGTTACTCTACTGAGCCTTGTTGGCAGTACCCAGATCATCATGAAAACAAATACTGTGATCTGGAGTGTAGCCATACTTGTAACTACAAAACGAGGTCATCATCATATTTAGATAACTTAGTTTGGAGAGAGAGTGAAGTTAATCATTATTATGAACCCAAGCTTATTATAGATCTTTCTAATTGGAAAGAACAAAGCAAAGAAAAATCTGATAAGAAGGGCAAGTCAAAATGTGAAAGGAATGGATTGGTTAAAGCCCAGATAGCTTTAGAGGAAGCATCACAGCAACTGGCTGAAAAAGAGAGGGAAAAGAATCAGGGATTTGACTTTGATTCCTTTATTGCAGGAACTATTCAACTTAGTTCACAACATGAGGCTACTGATGTTGTTGACAAATTAAATGACTTGAATAGCTCAGTGTCCCAACTAGAATTGAAAAGTTTGATATCAAAGTCAGTAAGCCGAGAAAAACAGGAAAAAGGAATGGCAAATTTGGCTCAACTAGAAGCCTTATACCAATCTTCTTGGGATAGCCAGTTTGTGGGTGGTGGGGAGGACTGTTTTCTCATAAATCAGTTTTGTTGTGAGGTAAGGAAGGATGAGCAAATTGAAAAGGAAAACACTTATACCAGTTACCTGGACAAGTTCTTTAGCAGGAGAGAAGATACTGAAATGCTAGAAACTGAGCCGGTAGAGGATGGGAAGCTTGGGGAGAGAGGAAATGAGGAAGGATTTCTGAACAGCAGTGGGGAGTTCCTCTTCAACAAGCAGCTTGAATCCATAGGCATCCCACAGTTTAACAGTCCAGTTGGGTCACCACTTAAGTCAATACAGGCCACATTAACACCTTCTGCTATGAAATCTTCCCCTCAGATTCCTCATAAGACATACAGCAGCATTCTGAAACATCTGAACTAAAACACTCAGCAGACATTTTTCTGTATTCTTCATGAAATGTGTTTTGTCTTTTTTATTACTAGTGTTTAAGTCTTTTTTTTTTTTTTTTTTTTACTTGAATCAGATGGTGTCATTTAGAAAGGATTTTTTTCTTGGTTTTTAAAATCCAGACTTTTTTTCTACATGTGAGATGGTTTTCATTTTAACTGGCATGTCGTTTGCACACAAAAATAAAGAATAGAGCAAAATAATGCAATGCAGGAGGAGACAAAAGAAATGCACTAAGACAAGTAAAAAACATTCTCTTATAGAACAATGATCTGTTTTACAGGAAACAAAAATCTTGCCTTGAAATTTACACAGTGAGACTGTACATAATTGCATGAAAATATCTATTTTTTTCCTAAAACATTTTTCATTCATGAGTATTTTCAAGTTTTTCATACTGTACACATTTCTTAAAAACACATGATACCAGCAGCAACTAAAATGAATGCCGAATTTGGTACACATGTGTTATCTACCTCAAGGTAACAAGAGTATGTGGCAAAACATATACCACCCATAGTGCTTCACAATATGCACTTCTATTTAGCCAGCGTTTATTGTAGTAAACTCTCCTTAATGAGATTCACTCACTGTTTATAAATGTTCTGGTATGCATTCTTTATAGTGAAGTGTTACATCACATCTTATTTATTTTAGCAAATCAGTATATTTTCTGTATTTAATTATAAAAAGTTAACTTAGTTTTTGAAATTTATTTGCAAATACACTTTTTTCCATTTGGCACTATGGTTTGTTGCCTACTTAGCTGAATATATAATGTCAGCTTATCCTAAGGCTGTCCACGTACTTAATTTACTTAAGTATTCATTTTAAGTAAAGCGCTCACTGTGTATAGGAATTTGTATTTTGGAGGTGCTTGATCTATCTACAAAGAAAAATTAGGAATTACTTTATTATAAAATGCTCCTAGAAGTCTTAATTGTGTTTATTTTTAAAAAAACTGTAATGTTAGACTTGTGTGCATGGAAGTAATTAAGGTACATCATTATTGTAGTTTAAAAGTTGTACATGATAAGACATATTTTGTTTTTACTGTATGTTTTTACTGAATGATCTATTCCCCATCCCAAAGCAAGCATGAATAAAATTAGGTTAAATGTAGCATGTGGCATCACAGTCTCTTAGAATTTGTCTCATCTATTTTACTTTATTGAATACTGTCTGTATCTTTGGTTATCCTGTTTGAAGAAAAAGGACAAATAAAACATGGCCAGCAAATATTTCTCCTGTTTAACTCTTTGACTTCCCTGGTAGCTAAGAATCCGCCTGCAGTGCAGGAGACCCTGGTTCGATTCCTGGGTTGGGAAGATCCACTGGAGAAGGGATAGGCTACCCACTCCAGTATTCTTGGGCTTGCCTGGTGGCTCAGCTGATAAAGAATCCACCTGCAATGTGGGATACCTGGGTTCAATCCCTGGGTCGGAAAAATCACCTGGAGAAGGGAACGGCTACCCACTCCAGTATTCTGGCCTGGAAAATTCCATGGGGCTGCAAAGAGTTGGACACGACTGAGCGACTTTCACTCTTTAGGTAATGATTACCTAGCTAGAATGAAAATCACTAGCAGAATCTTCTCTAGTTCCACTTTTCAGCATCTTTGAATTGTGGCTACAGTTTAAACTATGTTAGGCTAAAAGACTTAGAAAAAAAGACTCTGTCTCCACACAGAAATCTCGTTGACTTAACCTCACATATTAAAATGGTAAGGCTTTATAGATTTCAAAGCTATTATGTAATATGTGTGTGGAGGCTTTGAACTGTGCAGCTGGAGGATGTGTTTGTATTTTAATTGTATTAAATGTATTTGTTCTTCATCATCTTTCCTTTGCTCAAGAACATACCCATTTACCTATCCAAATATGACCATTGTTTTTTTAATGTCACTTTTCCTGTTTGTCTTCCATTCTTGCTTTGTACATTCTCTTAATAACTGGACTTCTGCCTTCCCACTGACCTATTTATTGATTTCATGTGGATTCACAAAGAGTTTAAAGATACATATATTTTTAATGAGTTCAGTGATTTCAGTGAATATCACTGTTGTGAATTTATATACTCAAATTACCTTAAAAAGTTAAGGTGTTAGAGGAAAAGCTTTCAGTTTTTCATATTTGGATATGATGTTACTTGTGGATTTTCATATATAGCCTTTTAAGTAATTTTCTTCTGTTTCTATTTGGTTGAGTTTTTTTTTTTTAATCATGAGAAGATATTGAATTTTGTAAAATGCATTTTCTCTTGAGATTATCAGGATAAATGTCAAAACGCACATGATTAATGTGCTATATTACATTGATTTTTTCATATGTTGAACCAGTCTTATATTCCAGGAATTGCACCTGTCCATAGTATATAATTCTTTTAAGATGCTACTGGATTTAGTTGGCTTGTTTTGGGGTGTTTTTTTGGGGGGGGGATTTTTGTATCAGTATTCATCAGGCATATTGGTGTGTAGTTTTATTTTCTTATGTTTGTCTGATTTTGCTATCAGGATAATGCTGGCCTCATAGAATGAGTTTGGCAGTATTCCCTCTTTAGTTTTTTGGAAGAGTTTCAAAAGGATTGGTATTCTTTAAATGTTAGATAGACTTCTCTAGTGAAGCTATCTGGTCCTGGGCTTTCTTTGTTGGGAGGCTTTTGATGATTGATTTAATCCCCACTTCCTCACAATTCACTCTTGTAGGTTGCGTATTTCTAAAATTGTATCCATTTCTTCTAGGTCATCCAGTTTGTTGGCATACAGTTGTTCATTATAGTCTCATATCCCATTTTAATTTCTTTCATTTCTGATTTATGTAGACTCTTACTCTGGCTAAGCATTTATTAAATTTGTTTATCTTTTTATATTTCCGTTTATTTCTATTCCAGTTTTTATTTTCTTCCTTCTGATAACGGGGTTTAGTTCTTTTTTTTGTTTTTTTCCCTTGTTCCTTTAAGTGTAAGTTTAGATTGTTGATTTGAAGCCTTTTTTTTTTTTTCTTTTTTTAATGGACTTTATTTTTAGGGGAATTTCAGATTCTCAGCAAAAGTATGCATAAGGTACAAAGATTCTGACATATCTATTGTCTGCATACATGCATAATCTTCCCCATTATCACCATCCCCCACCAGAGTGGTACATTTGTTATAATTGATGAACATAACACTGACACATCAGAATCAGCCCAAGCCCATAGTTCACCTTAATTAGGGTTAACTCCTGCTATTGTACATACTGTGGGTTTAGACAACTGTATAATGTGTCTACCATTGTATCATAGAGTTACTTGTCAGGTGATTCACAGATCTCCATTTCTTTTTGGTCAGTTTATGGAGATTCATTTTGTTTCTTTGAGCCTTGTTTCCCTGTTTCTTCGTGTGTCTTGTTATTTTTTTGTTCTGATTTCTGCATTTGAAAAAACAGGTACCTTTGCCTGCTTTACAGACTGGCTTGTACTGGGAAATATCTTCACCAGTCTTCCCAGCTCCGATATTTTGGCCACCTGATGCAAAGAGCTGACTCATTTGAAAAGACCCTGATGTTGGGAAAGATTGAAGGCAGGAGAAGGAGACGACAGAGGATGAGATGGTTAGACGGCATCACTGACTCAATGGACATGAGTTTAGGTAAACTCGGAGTTGGTGATGGACAGGGAGGCCTGGCGTGCTGCGGTTCATGGGATCGCAAAGAGTCAGACATGACTGAGCAGCTGAACTGAACTGAACTTCTCTAGCTAGAGAGTCTCAAACCTTTTATAAGATTGTGTAATCTCTGTACTTGTATGTGTAAACTCCTCCAGGCCCCCCTGCCCCCAACTCTTCATCCCCCAACCAGGTTTCTTTTCCAAGGAGTTCCAGTCTCTTGCTTTGTCTAGTCTGTCCAAGGCGCTCTGATACTGCAACAATTCTTTGAGCTCTTTTGTTCTCACTGGCCCCCAGGCATTCAAGAATGGTGCTTTGAGTCAGGTCAAACTGAAATCAAGTCTCTTGGGCAGCCCCCCAAAACCTGGGACAGTGGGGGCTTGTTCTAGTCTTCCTTTTCCCTCCCAAAGGAGGAGGCTACAGGGTGGGCTTTCCCTCCCAAGCAGGAGCTATGCTGGCTTGAGGAGGGGGCTGACATGGTTGAAATAAAACTGCTTTTCAAATTATTCATTTCAATGTATCTGTTCTTGGCTTTGAGATTGTCAGGGGGATTCTGTGACATCTTAACTGGTATCTGGAGTTCTCATGAAGGCTTTTTGGACCATATGTTGTTAAGTCAGTTTTTCTCTGAGGTAGTGAGGTCTAGGGGTTTCTATTCTGCCATCTTGTCTATGTCCAAAAATAATTTTTAAATGACTGGTTATGACTTAGAGGAATGTCCCAGCTGTGGTGCAGCTTTCAGACTTTTGGGATGCTCTGTGTCATGAGATGAGTCACATCTCTGAACTAATGGCTTGGCATCACGATTTTTAGAGCTACTTCTGAATCTTAGATATTAGGTTTAATTTGGAAATAGCAACACCTTCCCTCCCACACTTCTTTGGTGGTTCTTTAAGTCTTCAAGCATGTAGAAAAAGTGTAGAATTTGTTAAAAAACATTCCACTTGTTTTATCAGTTTATCTAATGTCAGTTTGTGTCAGATAAACACCTACAGATAAAATTGAATCACTCTCAGCCCTCCCACATCTTATTTCCCTGCCTCTCTCCTCAGAGGTAGACTCTTTCCTGAATTTGGTTTATCATTCTCATGCACAGTTTTATACTTTTGCTAATTTTGTAAGTATGTAATGTTGCATATTAAAATCATGGCATATTTTTTCAGCTTTCATTCAACATGTCTCTAAAGTTTATGTTGATGTATGTAGGCCTAATTCCATTTTAATTGCTGTTTTGCAGTGTATCCATTTTTGTTTTTTTTTGTTTTTTTTTTTACTTTTTCTTTTATTTTTATTTTTTTTAAATTTTTTTTTATAGTGTATCCATTTTTGAA